TTCAGACATGAACAACAGAATCCTCTCCTGTGGACCTCAGGGGGAGATTTTTGCCTTCGGGGTTGCATCCATCAGGGTTCCAGACCCATCCATCTTGAATAGCACAGTCGGTAGAACATGAGACTCTTAGTCTCATGGTCATGGGTTCGAATCCTATTTTGGGCAAAAGATTCCTGCATTGCAGGATCAGATGACTCTCGTGTTCCTTTCCAACCTTACGATTCCATGGTCTATGATTTCTTTTAAAAGGAGTGTCCTCTACAGCCCCGCCACAGCTTTGCTTGATCAGAGCACCAATACCAGACTTCCGCCTTGTGCCAGGGCCCTGCTGGCCAGATCCTGACAGTCTGCTAGCTGCCTGCTCAGCTAGAGATTGCTGGAGAAGGTAAAACACAGGTTTGGTCAACTGACCGGAAAGGAGACTCCAGGGGAGCTTGCAGCCAGTGGCAGAGCTTCACGCGTATCCTGGGGGCATGGTGTGCCACCCGCAGGGGTGTGGCATGCGCCCTGGGGGCATGGCACGCCTCCCACAAGGGCATGGCACGGCACCCAGCGTGGGCAGGGGGGCAGCAGTGATGGGACCCCACCGGGATTGCGCTGCCGCGGGCGGTGCGTCCCCCCCGCACTCCTCTTCCTCCGCCAGAGCTTGCAGCTTAAGAGCTGAGCCAGATAGGATTCCGCCAGCTGGCTGAGCAGCACCAATTGTGAGCTGTGGGTGCCCCAGAACAGGGGTGGGGGAACTTTCTCAACTTGGGGGCCACATTGCCTCCCTGGCAAGCTTCCAGGGGCCACATGCCAGTGGCGGACAGGGCCAGAGGCAAAAGCAGGGTAGGGTGCCAGGTGTGACTCTTACCTTTGTACAGAAGGCTACATTTCAGAGGTTTCCAGCCACAGCCCTCTTGCATTTCTCCATCCATCGTCCATGCAAGCAAGAGGGATTTCAAGCACACATCCTGGTCAAAGGCAGTCAAGGAGGACATGGAGTACAGCAGCTGAGAGGCTCAGAGCAGCGAGCCAAGAGCAAACCTTGGTTTGCGTGGGGAGAAGAAGCACATCTAGATCCCAGGTTTGGATCCCCCACCAACGCAGCCTTTTCTGTGCTGTAAATCCTACCCCATCTTTGTATGCAACTTGCTCAGGGCAGACCCATATTTGAAGACCCAAATCTGAGGACATGACAGCCAGACCAAAAGTTAACCTAACTGAGGGTTGGGGAACTTTAGCAGGCTAGTTTCTGCACGGCCCCCTCTATTCTCCATCCCAACAAGGGACATTGGGAGAGTTCAGGGTCACGCTCCAACTGGGAAGATCTGGGAAGCAGAGCAGGTCCAGTGAGGGGTGTGGTCTGCAGGGAGAGTTCTAAGGGCCAGACAGAGTGTTTCAGAGGGCCACATTTGGACCCTGGGCCTGAGGTTCCCCATGCCAGGACTAGCGCACCCCCAAAATCCCTTCAAACCACGAATGGAAGGATCTGCTGATTTCACTTCTCTCAGTTGCTCATTTTTCCAGCCTTATATTCAGCATTTCACATTTCTGCAGTAATTCATGTTTTTTTAAGAAAAAAAACCATCATAAGCATCCATCAGTGTTTTAGTGTAAATTTATCACAATAAACACATTTCTGCATGTGGTTTTGACCAGCGCACACATTTTTGCAAGCCATTCCCCCTGATAGAATGCCATTTTGTATGTGAATTTCACTGACAGTTTCAGTTTAATGCACACTTTCTCCTAACGTATGCACTTCTGTACACATCGGTTGGAAACTGGCATTGAAAAATTCAGACAGGTGCGAATTTCAGTTTCTGTTTGTGCGTTGCTTCTGAGAGTGTGCGTTTAATAATTTCGACTTTAAATGTGCACTGAGCGCATCCCTGCTCCCAACTCTATGCTTTTATGAACTTGCAGACTGGCCCCTGCAGCTGTCCTTTCACTAGTCATCTAAAGTGCAGCAAGGAAGAGGTTAAAATAAGAGCTTCTCTTGGCTAACTCATGGCTGTAGCTCCAGCTGCACAGGAGCAGGCTGGGCTGGGTTTGTCTGGCCTGCCATTCCTACATGGAAACCAGAAGTTGTTGTTTCATGCTCTGATGGAATCTGCAATACTGATAGGCACCTGGAAGCCCTGGGGTCAAATCTGGGTTCCAAAGGCTTTGAAACCTCCCAAGCTGGCTCAGGGCAGAGCCTTCAATCCTGCGTTTCACCCCCTTCTGTTAAACAAATATACACCTCAGCCAATATACAAATATATAGCCAAATATACAACTCCCCTCCAGCCGAGCAAAATGACTCTCTTCCTCCAGTACAAACAGCGACAGAAACTCTGCAAGAGTCCTCTAGTTATTTAATCTTAAGTATCTCTAAGCCACCTTTCCGGGCCAAAAAGCCCTCTTAAGGTGGCTTACATAAAACTATTCAGCTATAAAACATACACAAGCACAATATCAACCAAAGGGCCATAATTTGAAACAGTAGCTAGGGAAGTCCAGCCAAGCGACCTGTAACATTACCATTTAGAACACACTTCAAACCAGCTGCAGGAGAGCCACTGGGATAAGTCAAAACTCGTCCAAGTGATTTGCCAGAAGACAAGGCAGCTAAAAGCAACAACTGCTGCAAAGCCCACTTAAAATCCAGAACTGAAGGGCCAACTGTTTGCCCACTGGGAAGGACTCCCACAGATGAGAGACCACCACGGAGAAGGCCCTATCTCTACCATCTACATGTTTCTTTTTATCTTGCATTTCTAGAAAAATATTCAGGGGAACGTGCAAAAAGAAAAACGAAGCACTGAAATCAAAACATGGTTTAGGCAGTAAATCCACAGCGCACCAAAAAGTACAAACACCCGCCTTACTGACTTTGGGGACAGGCCAGCGAGCAGGGACTTTGTAAGTCTGCAGTTCTAAGTACATTTACTAGGGAACGCATCCCAGTTAACTGAATGGAACTCACTTGTGAGCCAACATGTATAGGATGAGGCCACACAAATGTTTAATTTTGAATGGACCAGCCCCACAAATCTAACATTTCTTTTGAACATATTTTTCATAGTTTCCCCCCTTTCTTTTTAAAAGGGGGCCTGCAAGGAGATGCAATGGTCATTTAATTTCCCTACAGATTGATGCAGAGAACAGAAGAACAGAATAGAAGCCAACCACGCCTGATCTTATAGAAATAATAGAAATGTAGAGTTGGAAGGGACCCTGTGGATCATCTAGTCCAACCCCCTGCAGTGCAGGGATGCGCAGCTGTCCCATACAGGGATCGAACCTGCAACCTTGGCATTATCAGCACCAGACTCTAACCAACTGAGCTATCCAGGCTTCTAAGCCTATGGCACCCAGTATTCCCAGGCAGGGTACCATCCACGTACTAACCAGGCTTGACCCTGCTTAGCTTCTGAGACTGGACAAGATCAGGAACGTTCAGGGCAGTAGGAAACCTTTGGGGAGTCCGTGCTTGTGACAACTCTATAAGGGAAGGCTGCAATGTTACCCCCTCCCGTTGAAAGCTTGCTGGGTGTGTAGGGAAGGCTTGGTTATTGTAAGGAACTGTACAGGCAGCATGTCCTTGTGGAAGGACCCAAAGCTCAGTGGGAGCACTTTGCACGAAGGAAGTCCCGAGTTCGAGTTCTGGCATCTCCAGGTAGGGCAGGGAATGATGGTTGTCTGAAACTCTACTACTACTGCCACTCAGTGTAAAACAGCCCTAAACTGACTGGCTGCAAGGCACCAGTGTTCTAGATACAGAGGGACACGCCTTCCTCTCCCACATCAGAAGTGCAGTGCCTGTTTTGCCTTCCACACATGGTCTCAAAAGGCAGTGGTCAGAATGGCTGTATGACAACTACTTATTTGCATGGTGTAACTTGTAGACCCTGCTGAGCGAGTGGGTGGGCTAAGTGTGCAGCAGGCCCCCCACCCCCAGCCATTGACAAGCAAGCCCACTCCTGTTCATTCTCAAATATTTTAGGGTGTATGTGTGCTGGCTGTGCCTATTTGCTCTGTGCATATGGAGACTTGGGATCAAAGGATTTGCCAGTTCCCATCCTCTCAGTTTCTCATTTTCCCAAATCTTAAATTTGGTTCTCCGCATATGTGCTGCAATTTGCAATCCTCCCCACCCCCTCCACCAATCATCTTGCAAATTATCCAGCATTTTAGCATGACTTTCTCCTGATGTATGCAACTTTGTCTATTTTTTTTTAACAAGCAATTTCTGCTAATATAATCCATTTTTGTATGCTACTTCCACCAATGCATTCCTATTTAGGCACACTTTCCTTAAATATATGCATTTTTTGCAAACCTTATTTGGTTGGAGAAAATTAATTTGCTTCAGAAAATTAAGATAAATGCAAATTTTGAAGGTGCTTTGGTTCTCACTGTTTTGGATTTTGATAGATTCACCTTTATATGTAAAAACTGAACCAAAGGCATTGGAGCTCAACTTCCACACTGAGCCACTATGCTCTCCTGATACACACAAGACTTTACTGCCAGCATACAACCCTGTGAACACAACCCTGGAAGAAAATTGAAGCTGATGGGACTCTGCCTCTGAATCTAACATGCAGAAAACTTGAGCAGAAAACTTTTTTAACCTTACTGATACAGATCTCATTCACCTGTAAGAGTTGTCCCTTATCTCTGAACTCATAAAGAAATCTGTTCAGTCATCACTGTTTGCTATACTTTTGATCAAAAGCCCCTCACCTCAAAGTTACCCAAAAGCCCAACTCCACAACCTCTGAAGTGCTCGTTTCTGGAGTTTTTTTTACTTCTGCAACACAGCAAGACTTGATGTACCTTTTCCTCATCACATCCTTGGAGCACTGTCCAGCTTGACATGCAATCTTTACGCTCTCTCTTTAAATCGCAGTGCATGCAGACAGTTAACCATCCCCGAACCAAAAAGCTCAAGTCTGGGTTTGCGGTCTACTGCTGCAAGCCCACATACCCCAACAAAACCGGAGAAGGTGGGAAGAAAAAAGACTTACCAAAACAAAGAAACAAAAGTTCTCAGAAATGGTTCTGTAGTTCAAACAGATAAAGGCTGCCAGTGCGGGATCAGCTCCTCCAAGCAGCCCTCTGCAAAGCGAGGCACGCAGAACTTCAGCAAAACAAACGTGTTGTTGCTGAGTCTCAGAAGTCAGGCTGAGCAGGGAGTTCCTCCCATCAGGTTAGGAAGAGAGCTGCCTCGTAGTCTCCGCCAGGAGTCCTCCTGGCCTGCCCCACTCCAAGCTCAGTGGTGCAATTGCAGCTCAGGCAGCCTGTGATATCCAGCTCCGACCCCCCTACTCCACCCCTACAGGAAGGCAACAGCTGGACTGCTTCATTCAGGGCTGGAGCAACTCTCCATGCCTTTTGCCGAGTCTGTGACTCACCCTCAGGCATGGAGGGAGAAGACTGGGGCGGGTGGATTTCAATACGGACTCTGTCTCTAAGCCTACGTTTGCAAGCACCAATGTGGATCCAGGGGTGGAGAAAGAGAGAGAGAGAGAGCGCAGAAGTTTCCCTGTGGCTGCAAATGCATTGGGAACGAAAGCGCACATAACAAAACATCGCTCTTCCTGAGATTCATTTCCAATCTGGCCTCAGGGCAATGAGTCACGGTATTCACCAAACACACACGTAGCCAAGAACACACACAAGCACACATGCAAGGGCCATAGTTAAATATCTTGCCACCGATGGTGTCCTTTAGACATCCTTTTTCAGGCTGATCCAGCAAATTTATTGCAACCCTGCTATTTTAGCACCAGTGGACTCAGGATTCAGGATTGCAGCCTAATCACACAGTCTCTTGCCAGATTTGCATACCTGTTGTGGCCACGTGTGCAGGTGTGTGCGCGTGCATGAGTCATCATCACATTGTCTGGCGCGATGCAAGGATCACACACCTGTGGGCCTGCGATGGTGGAGCGCCCAAGGTTTTGGGGTGTGGCCGCGTGGGATCAGCACATAGATTGGCAATATGTGTGTTTCAGACCTTCCTTACCATCGCACAACTGGGGCCAGGACAGTGCAAAAACACACATTCTAGCTGGGATCCAGCTCAACCATGATGAAATCCTGTTGAAGCCACTGGGACAGTTTCACTAGTTGTTGTTGATAGCACCTGTAAATTGAGCTATGATCCTATGCACGCCTAAACTAAGATGCGGCTGGTGCTGTAGTCGAAATCACTGAGCCTCTTCGGCTTGCCGATCAGAAGGTCAGCAGTTCGAATCCCTGTGACGGAGTGAGCTCCCGTTGCTCTGCCCCAGCTCCTGCCAACCTAGCAGTTCGAAAGCACGCCAGTGCAAGTAGATCAATAGATACCACTGCGATGGGAAGGTAAATGGCATTTCCGTGCGCTATGGTTTCCGTCATGGTGTTCCATTGTGCCAGAAGCTGGCCACATGACCCGGAAAGCTGTCTGTCGACAAACGCCAGCTCCCTCAGCCTGAAATCAAGATGACCGCTGCAACCTCATAGTTGCTTTTGACTGGTCTTAACCATCCAGGGGTCCTTTACCTTTACCTTAGGTAGGATCCTTTACCTTTACCTTAGGCAGGATCAGTATGCCCCACTGATCTCAATGGGACATTGAGCAGAGATGGGAAGGATTGCAACGTGAGCAGGATTGTGTGAAGATCCTACCCTGATGGGTGGGTCCTCTGTAATGTTGGTTAATCCCCCTTTTAAGCCTGTCTAATAACAGCTTCCCACCAATCCTATGCATGTGTTTTTTCCGAAACAAGGCCCATTATGCTAATTCCTCTTGTTGCACAATGGGGCAGTGTGTCTGGCTCTTAACCAGAAGGTTGGTGGTTCAAGCTCACCCAGGGAAAGCTCCCCTCCATTGCAGGGGTACCTTCCAATTCTATGATTCTATGGTGAATGGGGCTAACTCCTAGCAAACTCTGCAAGGGATTGCCTTCATTTTGTGCCTCCTGCAGTTTTTTAACACTTTGAGGACTTAAAAACCTACGGCTGTGGAATATTCATGTTCAATTAACACTGGGAGCCAGCAGCCAGGCATATGCATTCGCTTGGAATATTATTGCAAGTCTAGGTCAGGGTGTGTTGGTTCTGCATCCAAGATACTCATAAGCGAGAAATGTTGCTCAGCATTTGGTAGAAAACTGGTTTGTTCAAGTTTCGTTCCGGCCCTCCTCCAGTGATTCCCCCTTTGGGGAAGTGCAGCGGGTGAGGTGGGTGGGGGGAAAGAAACAGGAGATCAACTTCTTTGATAAAATGCCAGAAGCAAACAAACCTCAGGATCATCATCTCAAAGGAAGCACAGTGGCTCAGCCTTTTTGTCCCACCCGGAGCTCAGATTGGAACCAGAGCAAATATTGCTGAACACACACTAGAAATGCAAGAGTTGGGTGCGATCTGCCAGCATGTTATGGCGGCAGAGCAAAAGGCCGCAAGATACGATAGCAAGTATATGCGCATGCATGCTGCTTGTTTGTGGCAAGATATGGCATGATTCCCCTGAATTCTGGGATTTAAATCCCAAACCTGCTTACATTTGGCTTTGCTGAATACTTTAGGCGAATGAGATTTGGACACCTTAGAATCGTAGAACTGTAGATTGGAAAGGACCACAAGCGTCATCCAGTCCAACCTGCTGCAATGCAGGAATCTTTTGCTCAATGTGGGGCTCGAACCCACAACCCTGAGATTAAGCATCCCATGCTCTACCATGGCTATCATGTTGAGCTTCTCCATGCACAGAAATCAATGAGCCACAAAGCCACAAACCACAGTCAAATGTTGGTTCTGTTGATGCCGAGTTCTACTTTTCAGGAACACCTCATGGAAAGGCGTTGGTTCCCCCCTTCTTCTTTGATACTGTACAGGCCTTTACCACTTCCAACAGAATTTGGGGGGGGGGATTACCTGAGTGCATACAGCCCTGCCATCTAAAGAAATTGAGCACACTTAAAATTAGCACACTTTTCTTTTCTTTTCTTCTATAGCCACTTCTGGCCTGCCCAGGAGGTGGGGTTGCGGGCTTCACGCCCACCCCCCACGTGAGCGGGGGCTGGTTTCAGCCCCCCCCCGCGAGAGCAGGGGAATCCCGGCCATGTCTGCCCCCCCCAGCCAGCCAATCGACTGGCTGGGGGGGCGTGGCCTGCCCTATATTGGTAAGAAGGCGTTAAGAGGATGTGGGGGGAGGGGGAGGAACGCCATCACCTCCCCCCAGTGAGCGAAGGGTGGTCCGTTAAAGGACTCCGGGGTGCGTGGCCCTGTCCAAAGCCTATGGAGGTGTGGGCCAAAGGCACGCCCCCGAGCGGTGACTTGGGGGGACCTCCTAGTCAACGTGCCTCCGCAGGAGACTCCCCCCCCCCCCGATATAGTGTTAACCCTTCCCCGTGTCTCCAGCAAATGGGCTGGAGCCGGATAGTCGTTAGGACCAATGCCTAAGCCAATGCCTCTCATTCCTGAATTCAATAAAGTTGTGGCCTAATTCGCCCATTTAACCTTAAACTATGGTGTCTCGTGTCTTTATTTATCCTGGTGGTGGGCGGGAACTCGCCACGCAATCAACATCTCCCCAAAAGCAAACAGCATCTTAGCCATCTTCAGATATCTCAAGGGCTATCCCATAGAAGAGGGAACAAGGTTGCCTTCTCCTGCTCTGGAGGGTAGGACTCGAACCCATGGCTTCAAGCTACAAGGAAGGAGATTCCGAATAAATATCAGGAAGAACTTTCTGACAGTAAGAGCTGCTCTACAGTGGAATAGAGGTGGGAGACTCTCTTTCCTTCACAGAGGTTGAATCTGTCCTTATAGAGAAGTTGCTCCCTTTTCTGAACCAGTTCCAAGTCTACAATATCAAGAGATAACCAAGTGTTGTGGGACTTGTGATAAGAATTTTAAGGTCTTAGATATAAATGTTCATAAATGCACCAACCAATCATGTACATAGATCAGCACAGGAAGATCAACCTGAAACCATTTTTTATTCCCAAACTGACCAAATGTTTCTCTGCAAGGAGGGAGGGGGGTCAGGGAGCTGGTCAGGGAACCTTCCCATTGTCTCAGGAATTGAGTAATCAGCATTTCAATGGGTGGCAGAATATCAGGAAAGGCAATCAGATAAGGCATTATCAGATAACCTGGCAGACAGGAAAAACAACATTCATATTTCTGTTTTAGACCACCCACCTTTTCTGTGTGGTAAGTTTGTGATGATAAAATGATAGATAAAAATTTGTGATAAAAGTTTGGCCTCTGTTATTTTCTCCTATCAATAGGGAACCTACGTAAGGACTCTATATGGGCTCTTGGATACCCCATAAGGGAAAAAGGGCAGATTTTTGTTTACAACAGAAGGCACCCAAGGGTCATCTAGTCCAACCTCCCTGCAATGCAGGAATCTCAGCTAAAGCATCCACGGTAGATGGCCACCCATAGATGCTTCTTGCTTGCTTGGATGGAGGAGAGAGCGAAGGGCGTGGGGAGGTGTAGGTGTCTGTTTGCAGAAACTGGCCTACTGCATGAAACTTATTATGGCTCTGCCCACTTTGGCCTCTGGGTGCAGCCGTTACTGTCATGTGACTCTCGGAAGGTTTTCCAGAAGAGAATGTGGCCCCTGGGATGAAAAAGACTCCCCCTCCCCTCCGAATGAAAAGGTCCAGTGCAGCCACCACCAAAACGGAAAAGGGGCCTACTGGAATGAATGGAGGACCAGGCGGATCCGTCTTGTTCCAGTTCGTGCCACTTTTGCATGTGTTCGTCATTAAGGCTGTTCCATTTCATTTCCAAATCAGTGAGCGTTTTCATGAAGGATGGAAGTTCTTGTTGAAACAAACGCAGTGTGAGAAGCTGGTCCGAAGGCTGCCTTTAAGAGCGGCTCCAAGCAGCTAGGAAGCCTGGCTTGTGTGTGTGCATTCGGAGTTTGACGTTGGAATGGTCTCCCTTGGGAGGCTGTGGGCTCTCATTCATTGGAGGTTTTTAAGTGGAGATTGGATGGCCAGCTGTCATGGAGTCTTGCATTGCAGGGGGTTGGACCCTCAAGCTTCCTTGAAACTCTGCAATTCTGTGACATTGCGTTGCGAAATGGTGCAATTCAACAATATATAAGTGAATGAATTTGCTGTTGCTGTTGCTGTTGTCATTACAATTTTTTTCTGACATTCTCACACCGTTCGAAGTGTCTCTATTTTCCAGCGACAGTCCCAGATTTACAGAAGCCGTCCCAGTTTCTGATTTGATCCTGGAATGTCTCGCTTTCTCTTAGGATATCCCTATTTTCATCAGAGGAAATGTTGGATAGTATGGAGTTATCTGACCCCCAAGCTATCTGAAGGCAGCCCTGTATAAAAAGGTAAAGGTACCCCTGCCCGTACGGGCCAGTCTTGACAGACTCTAGGGTTGTGCGCCCATCTCACTCAAGAGGCCAGGGGCCAGCGCTG